ATTCGTATGAACGGGGTGCGATTGTGATGCGGTGCGGAATTCGCACTGAAAATGCTGCGAATTCCGCACCCCATCAGTGTGAACCAGGAGTCCTGCATTATATGTGTGTGATCATGTCTGGAGTTTCTTAGGGAGGAGGCTGCAGGGGCTGGTCGCACAGGTTGAAGGAGCCTGCTGGAATGAGAAATAAGACAAGTATTACTCTTTATTCCCTTGCACCTAGGCAAAAATAAACATCCCTTTGCATTATTGCAATTTTTTTTTCTGCTTTTGGAAAAAAAAGAATAAACCATACTGTCTGCTCTAATCACCCCTGGCAGTGTTACGTCGTTTATGCCAATGGTAACTGTCACTTTTGCTGAACAGCCTGTTCTGCAGATAAAGGTGGAGAAAAATTTGGATAAAGGCCTTTAAAATAAAAAAGGAATTCATATACTAAACATTATGATTACAGGCAGGGCTGCTGTTGAAATCATGAGGCCCTGTGCAGCCTACCTGACACAGCCCCCCAGCCTGAGTGGGTGTGTGGATGCAGGTGTATTGCCCTGAACATGGCTTCAGCCACACGAGCAAACGACTCATTTATGCGGCCAGAATACCTGTGTGAATGAGCCCTTAATTATTTTTTTTTATTATTTTTCATAATTTTTTACCCTCTGGGGGTGGGGAAGCTTTGGTGAAGTATCGGGGGTCTAAATAGACCCTTGATGTTTTACTTTTGAGACAGAGAAATGCAGATCCCCAACCTTTTTCTGTAGCCTCAGCTGCACTGCAGAATGAATGAACAGGAAGCACTCAGTACAGAGGCTCTCCTGTTCATTCACAAATGGAAGCATAGTAAACACAGTTTATTATGCATCAGTTATGAATGAGCACAAGGGGGATTGGAACTGCAGGGAATGGGGAACATGGACAGGAGAGGGAGTGACCAGAGTGGTGGTGGGGGTGATCCCTGAAACCGATCTACTGCTTTCCCTTCAGCAGCCGACAGCCAGCAAGATGGAGAGAAGCCAGAGAGTGGGATGCTGAGCTATGATCAGCAGCTCTTTGAACTGCCTGCACCATAAAGCTGCTGTTGAACTGAGGAGTGAGTGTGTGGGTGCAGGTGTATGGTCCAGAACATGGCTCCAGCCCCATGAACTCATTCACGTGGCCAGAGTACTTGTATGTGTGAGACTTTAATTATTATTTTTAAATACACTTTTAGATTCTTTCTATTTTTTACATTTTTTAACAGCCCTATGGGGGGGGGGGGGGTAGCTTTGGTGAAATATCTGGGGTCTAAACAGACACCTGATGTTTCAGTTTTGGGACAGAGAAACAAAGATCCCCAATTTTTTTTCTGAAGCTACAGCTACACTGCTTAATGAATGAAAAGGAAGCACTTTGTACAGAAGCTTCCTGTTCATTTACAAACTGAAGCATAGTATACACAATTTACTACGCTTCAGTTATGGATGAACACAGGAGTGATCGGAGCTGCAGGGGAGGGGATTGTGGACACGAGAGGGGGTGACCAGACACCAGAACAGCGGGGGGGGGGGGGGAGATCCCTGAAACCGATCCCTCTGTGGCTCCCCATGCAGCAGCTGACAACCTGCGGGAAAGAGAGGTGGAGAAACCAAGGAGGAGGGCTTTGCGCTGTAATCAGCAGGTTTTGAAACTGCCTGCATCATAAAGCTGCCGTTGAACTGATGAGGCCCGGGACCCATACAGGAGGTCCATTTTTGGCGGCTCCTCTTAAAGTTATTAACCCTATACAGTTATTAACATTTTTTCTTATTTTATTTATTTTAATAGTCATAGATGATCTATAATGTCAAGTGGCAAAGATACACTATATTGCCAAAAGTATTGGTCGGCCGGCCTTTACACGCACAGGAACTTTAATGGCATCCCAATCTTAGTCCGTAGGGTTCAATATTGAGTTGGCCCCGCCCTTTGCAGTTATAACAGCTTCAACTCTTCTGGGAAGGCCGTCCACAAGGTTTAGGAGGGTGTCTATGGGAAGGTTTGATCATTCTTCCAGAAGCACATTTGTGAGGTCAGGCACTGATGCCGGACGAGAAGGCCTGGCTTGCAGTCTCCACTCTAATTCATCCCAAAAATGTTCTATGGGGTTGAGGTCAGGACTCTGTGCAGGTCAGTCAAGTTCCTCCGCCCCAAACTCGCTCATCGATGTCTTTATGGACCTTGCTTTGTGCACTGGTGTGCAGTCATGTTGGAACAGGAAGGGGCCATCCCCAAACTCTTCCCATAAAGCTGGGAGCAGGAAATTGTCCAAAATGTCTTGGTGTGCTGACACCCTAAGAGTTCCCATCACTGGAACCAGGGGACCAAGCCCAACCCCTGAAAAACAACCCCACACCATAATCCTCCCTCCACCAAACTTTACACTTGGCACAATGCAGTCAGGCAAGTACCATTCTCCTGACAACTGCCACACCGAGACACGTCTATCGGATTGCCAGACAGAGAAGCGTGATTGGATTGGTCACTCCAGTGAACACATCTTCACTGCTCTAGAGTCCAGTGGCGGCGTGCTTTACACCACTGCATCCGACGCTTTGCATTGCACTTAGTGATGTAAGACTTGGATGCAGCTGCTCGGCCATGGAAACCCATTCCATGAAGCTCTCTACGCACTGTTGTTGGGCTCATCTGAAGGCCACACCAAGTTTGGAGGTCTTTAGCTATTGACTCTGCAGGCAGTTGGCGACTCCTGTGCACTGAGCGCTTCAGCATGCGCTGACCCCGCTCTGTCATTTTTGGTGGCCTGTTGTTGTTGTTCCCAGTTGCTTCTACTTTGTTATAATACCTTTCTTATAATACAGTTATATTTATAGGTAGATGTGCCGCGTCAAAGGACTTCCACCAATGTCTCTGTCTTGTCGCTTCTCTTCCTCAGGGCTCGCCTCATGCAGGCATTCAAGGAATCGCACTCCCATGAGTCTTTGCTGAGTCCGAGCAGCGCTGCGGAAGCCTTGGATCTGAATCTGGATGAAGATTCGGTGGTGAAACCTGTGCACAGCAGTATCCTGGGACAGGAGTTTTGTTTTGAGGTGATGTTCTTGTCTAAACCTTGACTCCAGCTTTACTTCTTGAGCTGTCACAGTTGTACAGGCCCCTCTAATGTATTGGAATGGCTTAGTCTAATTTCACTGCACAGTGTGAGCTTCTGCATTAGAAACAGCAGCTAATCAGATGGAGCCTGCCTCATTTTCCAGCTGGAGGACATCCGGCATCATCTAGCTCTTTCCTGCACATAACGTGACTGTTCCTGATCTGCCCATTTCATTCATTGGATTTCAGTTTTTTTTTCTGTCATGGAGGCTCATCATCACATGTGGGTGTTACCTGGGACGGTCTGCATGCCAGTGTAGTCTTCCTGTGAACATGCAATCCCTCCCAACTGATATCCACCAATCAAGGTATTTTGATATTTAAAGTGTAAGTTCACCTTTACAGAAAATTTGTAAAGATGACCCAACACCGGACCCCCTCCTCCCTCCTCCTCCCCCGTCCCTGCTGTACTTACCTCCTGTGATCCTGAGCTGTCAAGACTCTGGTAAGTTGCCCAACATTCCTTGGGATTCAAAATTCCTGCTGCTTTCTCTCCTCTCTGTCTGGTCCATACTTGTGACGCTGTATGGAGAGAAAACAGCAGGAATTTCAAATCCCAGAACGTTGGGCGGCTTGCGGGAGCCATGACAGCTTAGGATCACAGGAGTTAAGTACAGTGGGGGGGGGGGGGGGGGCAGCTTGAGGAGGGGTGTTAGGACATCTTTACAGATTTTCTGTAAAGGTGAACTTACACTTTAAAGTGTCACTAAACCGACAACAGTAAAATCAGTCCGTATATGCAGTAAAGCATGCTTGTTATATGCACTGTGGAACCTAAGGGGTTAATCCTCTGAATTGGCTGTTTGATCCTGTCTTCTCTGATCCTCCCCTTCTTCCACTGTCCCCAATACATCTGTTGATAGAACAGAGCCTTGGGGGCAAGCTGCACATGCTCAGTTTGGTGTTTATTACTAGAAAGGTTTTTTCTTCTTTTGGAAGAGTGCATGTGATCAGCACAGGGCCAATCAGCATTGTCCAGACAGAGGGTCAGGGGTTATGCAGCCTCACAGGACAGTCTGAGGAGAATGAAAACTCCTCCTACAAGCTTTAACCAGTGCTCTGGACACTGATAGAAGTCACAAGACTGCTCTAACTGCTGATGAAAAACTGTATTTAGCAGTTTATATTTTCTAAAATAATTGCATTTCCCAGGGTCCGGGGAGAGCGGGATATAGTGAATGCAGGGTCTGGGGAGACCAGATATAGTGAATGCCGGGTCCTGGGAGAGCGGATATAGTGAATGCAGGGTCCAGGGAGAGTGGATATAGTGAATGCAGGGTCTGTGGAGAGTGGATATAGTGAATGCAGGGTCCGGGGAGAGTGGATATAGTGAATGCAGGGTCCGGGAGAGTGGATATAGTGAATGCAGGGTCCGGGAGAGTGGATATAGTGAATGCAGGGTCTGTGGAGACCAGATATAGTGAATGCCGGGTCCTGGGAGACCAGATATAGTGAATGCAGGGTTCGGAGAGACCAGATATAGTGAATGCAGGGTCTGGGGAGACCAGATATATAGTGAATGCAGGGTCCGGGGAGAGCGGATATAGTGAATGCAGGGTCCTGGGAGACCAGATATAGTGAATGAAGGATCCTGGGAGACCGGATATAGTGAATGCAGGGTCCGGGGAGACCAGATATAGTGAATGCAGGGTCCTGGGAGACCGGATATAGTGAATGCAGGGTCCTGGGAGACCAGATATAGTGAATGCAGGGTCCTGGGAGACCGGATATAGTGAATGCAGGGTCCGGGGAGACCAGATATAATGAATGCAGGGTCCGGGGAGACCGGATATAGTGAATGCAGGGTCCAGGGAGAGTGGATATAGTGAATGCAGGGTCTGTGGAGAGTGGATATAGTGAATGCAGGGTCCGGGAGAGTGGATATAGTGAATGCAGGGTCCGGGGAGAGTGGATATAGTGAATGCAGGGTCCGGGGAGAGTGGATATAGTGAATGCAGGGTCTGTGGAGACCAGATATAGTGAATGCCGGGTCCTGGGAGACCAGATATAGTGAATGCAGGGTTCGGAGAGACCAGATATAGTGAATGCAGGGTCTGGGGAGACCAGATATAGTGAATGCAGGGTCCGGGGAGAGCGGATATAGTGAATGCAGGGTCCTGGGAGACCAGATATAGTGAATGAAGGATCCTGGAGACCGGATATAGTGAATGCAGGGTCCGGGGAGACCAGATATAGTGAATGCAGGTCCTGGGAGACCAGATATAATGAATGCAGGGTCCTGGGAGACCGGATATAGTGAATGCAGGGTCCTGGGAGAACCGGATATAGTGAATGCAGGGTCCTGGGAGACCAATATAGTGAATGCAGGGTCCTGGGAGACCGGATATAGTGAATGCAGGGTCCGGGGAGACCGGATATAGTGAATGCAGGTCCGGGGAGACCAGATATAGTGAATGCAGGGTCCGGGGGAGACCCGATATAGTGAATGCAGGGTCCGGGGAGACCCGATATAGTGAATGCAGGGTCGGGGAGACCAGATATAGTGAATGCAGGTCCTGGGAGAGCGGATATAGTGAATGCAGGTTCATGGGTTTAGTAACACTTTAAATAACTCTACCAAAAAACACCCTACTGCATGCGCAAACTGTTGGCGCTATATAAATCCTGTATTATAATAATAATGATAATGCATCAGGATTGAGGCTACTGAGGCAGAGTGCTGTGATGTTTTCAGAAATTCATGTACAGCACCCTGCTGGCCCCTCCCACCATCAATGATTTGCCTGCATTGGATAGAGATGTACGGAGACCCAGTGATGATATGGTATGAAAGCATAAAAGATTGTATTTAAATGTAGTAGCTGATAAGTGGAGAGGTAGAAACCAGATAAAGCAAACTAGGCAGAATAAACTTTAGCTTTACTACTCTATGAAGGTCACCTGACTATATAGATATAGATAGAGACATGATTTATACATTCTAATTTGTAGAAACAGAGTGCATTATAGCAAAACTGCGAAAAGTTGAGGAACTGAATTTATTCTGTCTTGAGAAGAGAGATTAAGGGGGGATATGATCTCCATGTATAATACATAAGGGGGGGATATGATCACCATGTATAATACATAAGGGGGATATGATCTCCATGTATAATACATAAGGGGGGATATGATCACCATGTATAATATGTAAGGGGGGATATGATCACCATGTATAATACATAAGGGGGGGATATGATCACCATGTATAATACATAAGGGGGATATGATCTCCATGTATAATACATAAGGGGGGATATGATCTCCATGTACAGTCATGGCCGAAATTGTTGGCACCCTTGATATTTCTCCAGGAAATCATGTATTTCTCACGAAACGTATTGCATTAACACATGTTTTGCTATGAACACATGTTTATTCCCTTTGTGTGTATTGGGACAAAACAAAAAAAGGGAGGAAAGAAAGCAAATTCGACATAATGTCACACAAACCTCCAAAAATGGGCTGGACAAAAGTATTGGCACCCTTTCACAACTGCGGATAAATAAGAATGTTACAAGCATGTGATGCTCCTGTAAACTCACCTGGGGCAAGTAACAGGTGTGGGCAATATAGAAATCACACCTGAAAGCAGATAAAAAGGAGAGACGTTCACTTAACCTTTGCATTGTGTGTCTGTCTGTGCCACACTAAGCATGGACAACAGAAAGAGGAGACGAGAACTGTCTGAGGACCTGAGAACCAAAATTGTGGCAAAATATCAACAATCTCAAGGTTACAAGTCCATCTCCAGAGAACTAGATTTGCCTTTGTCCACAGTGCGCAACATTATCAAGAAGTTTGCAACCCATGGCACTGTAGCTAATCTCCCTGGTCGTGGACGGATGAGAAAATTGATGAAAGATTGCAACGCAGAATAGTCCGGATGGTGGATAAGCAGCCCCAAACATGTTCCAAAGACATTCAAGCTGTCCTGCAGGCTCAGGGAGCATCAGTGTCAGCGCGAACTATCCGTCGACATTTAAATGAAATGAAACGCTATGGCAGGAGACCCAGAGGACCCCACTGCTGACACAGAGACATAAAAAAGCAAGACTACAGTTTGCCAAAATGTACTTGAGTTAAGCCAAAAGCCTTCTGGGAAAACGTCTTGTGGACAGATGAGACCAAGATAGAGCTTTTCGGTAAAGCACATCATTCTACTGTTTACCGAAAACGGAATGAGGCCTACAAAGAACAAAACACAGTACCTACGGTAAAATATGGTGGAGGTTCAATGATGTTTTGGGTTGTTTTGCTGCCTCTGGCACTGGGTGCCTTGACTGTGTGCAAGGCATCATGAAATCTGAGGATTACCAAAGGATTTTTGGGTCGCACTGTAGGGCCCAGTGTCAGAAAGCTGGGTTTGCGTCCAAGATCCTGGGGTCTTCCAGCAGGACAATGACCCCAAACATAACGTCAAAAAGCACTCAGAAATGGATGGCAAAGAAGCGCTGGAGAGTTCTGAAGTGGCCAGCAATGAGCCCAGATCTAAATCCCATTGAACACCTGTGGAGAGATCTTAAAATTGCTGTTGGGAAAAGGGTGTCCTTCCAATAAGAGAGACCTGGAGCTGTTTGCAAAGGAAGAGTGGTCCAAAATTCCGGGTGAGAGGTGTCAGAAGCTTATTGATGGTTATAGGAAGCGACTGATTTCAGTTATGTTTTCCAAAGGGTGTGCAACCAAATATTAAGTTAAGGGTGCCAATACTTTTGTCCAGCCCATTTTTGGGTTTTGTGTGACATTATGTCATATTTGCTTTTCTGCCTCTGTTTTATATTTGTTCCAATACATACAAAGGGAATAAACATGTGTATAGCAAAACATGTGTTAATGCAATACCTTTTTTGTGTGAAATACTTGATTTTCAGGAAAAATATCAAGGGTGCCAACAATTTCGGCCATGACTGTATAATACATAAGGGGGGATATGATCTCCATGTATAATACATAAGGGGGATATGATCTCCATGTATAATACATAAGGGGGGATATGATCTCCATGTATAATACATAAGGGGGGATATGATCTCCATGTAATAATACATAAGGGGGATATGATCCCCATGTATAATACATAAGGGGGGATATGATCACCATGTATAATACATAAGGGGGATGTGATCTCCATGTATAATACATAAGGGGGGATATGATCTCCATGTATAATACATAAAGGGGGGATATGATCACCATGTATAAAAAAAAAAGTAATATATGTAAGGGGGGATATGATCACCATGTATAATACATAAGGGGGGGATATGATCACCATGTATAATACATAAGGGGGGATATGATCACCATGTATAATACATAAGGGGGGATATGATCTCCATGTATAATACATAAAGGGGGGATATGATCACCATGTATAATACATAAGGGGGGATATGATCACCATGTATAATACATAAGGGGGGGATATGATCTCCATGTATAATACATAAGGGGGATATGATCTCCATGTATAATACTTAAGGGGGGAATATGATCTCCATGTATAATACTTAAGGGGGGATATGATCTCCATGTATAATACATAAGGGGGGATATGATCACCATGTATAATACATAAGGGGGGATATGATCTCCATGTATAATACATAAGGGGGGATATGATCTCCATGTATAATACATAAGAGGGGATATGATCTCCATGTATAATACATAAGGGGGATATGATCTCCATGTATAATACATAAGGGGGATATGATCTCCATGTATAATACATAAGGGGGGGGATATGATCTCCATGTATAATACATAAGGGGGGATATGATCACCACGTATAATACATAAGGGGGGATATGATCTCCATGTATAATACATAAGGGGGATATGATCTCCATGTATAATACATAAGGGGGATATGATCACCATGTATAATACATAAGGGGGGATATGATCTCCATGTATAATACATAAGGGGGGATATGATCTCCATGTATAATACATAAGGGGGGATATGATCACCATGTATAATACATAAGGGGGGATATGATCTCCATGTATAATACATAAGGGGGGATATGATCTCCATGTATAATACATAAGGGGGATATGATCTCTATGTATAATACATAAGGGGGATATGATCTCCATGTATAATACATAAGGGGGGATATGATCTCCATGTATAATACATAAGGGGGGATATGATCTCCATGTATAATACATAAGGGGGGGATATGATCTCCATGTATAATACATAAGGGGGGGGGATATGATCTCTATGTATAATACATAAGGGGGGATATGATCTCCATGTATAATACATAAGGGGGGATGATCTCCATGTATAATACATAAGGAGGGATATGATCACCATGTATAATACATAAGGGGGGATATGATCTCCATGTATAATACATAAGGGGGGATATGATCTCCATGTATAATACATAAGGGGGGATATGATCTCCATGTATAATACATAAGGGGGATATGATCTCCATGTATAATACATAAGGGGGGATATGATCACCATGTATAATACATAAGGGGGGATATGATCTCCATGTATAATACATAAGGGGGATATGATCTCTATGTATAATACATAAGGGGGGATCAGGAAGGAATTTTTTTTCCCTGCAGGAGAAAAAAGGGTTCCTCCAAGGTTAAAAGATTTAGAATCTAAGGAAGAAGCAGTAGAGGGGCGCTGGACATAGATTTTCACAGGTTATCAAAATGTGGACAAAACCGTGGTTCCCCCAATGAAGGACATTCACGCAAGTTGAAAAAATCAGATTGGAATAGGTCAACGAGAGTCCAAAGTCTTTATTTTTCAGTTGGTTACGACAAGCAGGGTAAAAAACAGCCACCAAGATTCGGGGGTCTCACAATCCTTCTTTTTCAGGGCTAGGGGAACAGTTTTAAAGTGGTTGTAAACCTCAGACATGAAATATGAACAAAGCCCTCTGTAGTGTGTACTTGTCTCAGTCCAGAGCACTAAGTGTCATTTCTGTCTGTTGCCTCGTTCCTCTGTTATCGCATGAATCATTTCTGACACATTTTACTGACACCAAGAGGAAAACAAGGTGACTAGGAAGGGACCTCCAGCACACAGCCTGTGATTGACAGCCTCAGATCTGTTCCTGTGAACTGTGTGAGGAGGGGTGTGTCCGTTCTCTCCTGTCAGCTCTCAGAGCTCTCCTCGCTTTTCAGAGTGTAACTTCAGCTCTCCACCCCCTGTTTTCTGAAACGTCTGACAAGCTTCCTAAATTCTGGACTTTAACCGGCTGTAGAGAAGAGAATACTTCTGATAAACAGGTACAACTTATGTAGGAGGATTTGTTACATATTTATGAAGGAGGATTTGTTTCATCCCTTATACTCAGTCATTTCACTGTAAGGTGGTTGTAAACCCTTAGATTTACCCCTGGAAGTGACAAGCCTCAGATGATACACAGA